CGTTCCCTCTCTGAGAATCGAAATCGTTTCTTTTTCAGTTGCGACATAACTAATTAAAGTTCTAAATGACACTGACTGACATTGTAGAAAAATTCTACTATTGCCAACATAAGAAGTAACGATTGTGAGTGTTATAATTATAAGACATAGTTATAAGGATAAGTGTAAGCATAAGAAAAAATTTATAAGAATATGTTTTGCGCAAACACGCTAATATTAGTTAAATGTTAGGGTTTATTATATAGTATTCCATATATGTATATAATAAACCTAACATTTTATTGGCATGATCACATATATGTGGTTAGTAAGGTATAAACGTCAGCTGCAACGTAAGCACAACACCGATCTTCAATTTCTCTATTTCGGTACCGTTTAATTCATATTTGTAATATTTGCGATTTAGAAAACGTTATTTCTTTACACTTGCTTTTGTTGATAATTTTCCTTATTATTACCACACCACTTGAAAAACGTGTTTACATCATTTTGAAGACATTTACAATTTTCAAGTGTGGTAATGGTCTTGGTAACCCTTAGATCATCTGCGTACACAAAGACGGGACACTTTTACTCTTGAAGTGCGTCATTAAAAAATATAAAAATAAAATAGGTCCTAGGTTCAAGCCCTGTGTGACACCACTAGAAACAACAGCTTTTTCAGCAGAAACTACGATACTTACTACTCTTCAGCCTATGATAATTGATGATGTATGTATGCGTTCTTGTTGCGCGTGTTATATTGATGTTCTGCAGAGTTATAATTGAATTCATTTTCCTTCATGAACAGAACCGCAGCAAAAATATACATACATGGAACCGTCATTATTTGCAGTTTCTTATACTGCTCCCGGCAGTCGTCTCTATACTTTAATCCAGCGAGTACTCTTACGCATTTCCTTTGAACTGAGAACACTTTATTAATGTGTGCTGAATGTCCCCAAACCAGAATTCCATAATTCTAAAGGTAACCAGTGGCGGCTGGTTACCTTTAGAAATGCGGGAACACAATTTGATTGATGAGTTAAATATGAAGATAATAAACAGGTTGTTATTACTAGAGAGCGGATTTTATGAAATTTGCATATCCGTTATTTTTTGCATATAAGTCTTGATATTTAATATGTGAACGAATCATGTTAATTGAGAATGAATACAGCTATAAAAAAATTGCATATCTGCATATATTTGCCTTTGCATTTTTAACAATTTTTGTGCTAATTTGAAAAAAAAATTATTGTCATTCTATCGGCATTTATCTAGAAAGACGAAATTTCATGAATCATATTGCAAATATTGTCCTGAGCTTCAAATAACTAGGAAAGGTTTGGGTTTTATGGTAGTTTGGAGAAACCACTGGGTGTTAAGCCATCATCCTTCCAAGTAAATTCGCGCCCTAATTACTTTTGGAAATACGTCCATTCCCAATATTTTTGTTCGTTACTTCAGTGTATTAATGGTATGTTTTGTGGTGGTCGAAGGGACGTTATCCTATTGTTTTCCATCGTGAGTTTGCATTGAAAGCATTTAAAGCGATACAGGTGTGTCTATATGTCGAAGATGACTCAGATTAATTTGTGGATTAAACCTTTTCCTGAATTTATTCTTCAAGAAGGAACTGTGTTTTATGGCGCCTGCTCTAAACCGGTAAGTATTTTTACACCTGTGGACGTAGTACGCAGTTCTTCTATTTACAAATACACACTCTAGAATCACCGGAAAAAAATTTTGTTAGAATATTTCGAAAAATATTTAAAAATAAACTGTTTCCAAAATAGTAATTAAAAAGTCGATTACTACTATTATTTAATTTGTTCTGTTTATATTTATTTTTTAGTATAAGAATATTATCCTTAAAAATGCGATTTATGTGTTAGCGAGATGTAATTAAACACTTTACAATGTGATTTATGTATTTTTTGTAATAAAAAGTAAGCTCGGGAAACCTGTTTTTGTAATTTGTAAATAAATTTAGTTCGCTCATTAAGCTTTTTTTTAATTTTTGGAGCATAGGGAACTGCATATCTCTGCATATATTAAGAAAGTTACTGCATATTTGCATAAATTTGGTGCATATCATATGATCATATTTCCCAAAATTTTGTTGCATATTTTCCGCTCTCTAGTTATTACCAATTAATAGACGAAATTGTGTGACGGAAATAAATACAAAAATATATTCAATAAAAATAAAAAAGGACTTCTCCACATACCTTTTTGCCTTGGGTGTTCATTGCATCTAAAAATTCATTTTAGACAGTTTTAGGCGTTCCTTTAAAAACCGTTGCTTCTTTCAAATGATCTGATAAAGTCCAATTCAGTCATAAAATCAATCAGACCTTGAAATGTATCTGGATTTTGTGATTCCCTATACTTTCGTCATATTATCAATCGGCATAATATAGGTATAGCGATTTTTGTCGACCCTTGCGTTATGTGCCCGAATATTATTAATATAAGCGATCTGTAGTTGTTTCCGAATGTCTGTATTACCTAGAAGATTATCCAAGAATATTTATCATACGTGTTCGCGCAGAAGGAAAATTAAAACCCGCGATAGTAACTCAATCCTCCAGAGCACGATCGCAAAGGGCTCACAATCCAGTTGTATCAGGCGCATATCAGGCGGCTACGACGTGTAGTTTCCATGGCGACGGTGTAAACAAAACATCAAAATCAGTCATGATTCGGTCCATTCGGTCTCTGTGCCGGGCTTTTATCAGCATTTCATCAGAAATAACATATCATATATCCAAGACACATCTTTCGATGCAAGTGGAAGTAAGTTTTGATACATTTTATACAAGTGGAGCGAGATAAAAAAATTAGTTTTGATAATTATGAGACAAATTTCCGGATAATTTTTTAAATATTGAAAATTACTATTTTGCTATGTCCAGTGTGTTTGTAGACGTTGTAATTTTGGGGGGGGGGGCACGTGCTCTTGTGCCCCCCGGCACCAGCCGCCCCTGAATAGAACTATGCAGGAGGCCATAGTAAGCTGTCTTTCGCACATATAACGAGACAGAGTACCTCATTTGCCGTAATACAAATACTTGACTTGACAATTTATTACACAGTGCATTAATGTGTGCTTCCCATGTTAACGCTGCGTCCATTATTATCCCAAGAAATTTAATTGTATTTTTATGACAATCACTCCGTTTTAGAGAAAACATGAGTCTTTGTTCCTTGTCCTCACTCATGCATACTTTATTGGCCAAAAACTATGTCTTAATGGATGCAATGATCTCTTTGCCTATTTAAAATTTCAAGCGATTTCTGTAGCGTCGAGTTGGGTGAATTGTAAATCCAACTCACCTCGTAGTTGGATTCATGTATCTTTTTACACACGTGACCAAAAGCTAACGTCCGAACTAATAACTGGCACTTTGTAGTAATTAGTCAAAAAGATGACAATGTTCATAACCACAACACAAATGTATAGGCTCAGGCAGGTCTTTTGGTCTTGGTGCTTTCCGTTTGGGCCTTGATTTTGTTGAACTGGGAAGCACGCCGAGTCTTTCTTTTTGAGTTTTAATCTTCGAAACCGTTCCGCGAGTAACGCCTAGAGCATCTGCAACTCGCTAAAAATTTGAGCGAAATTATTAACCATGAACCTTCAAGTGGTTTTTCCTTACTTGTTCTGTGGCATTTAATGATATTAAAGGACCACCGTTTTCCTTCTCAAGAGCAAAATACTCTATAAAGTTGGACACTATGTCCTGGGCACGGGAACTCAAAGGTTTGCCCGGCATGTTCTAGACCAAACACGAGCAAGAATTAAGATAACAAAACATAAATTAGTACAACGGAACAAGAATATTAACAATCAACGAACTTTACGAAGAGCTCAATAGAAAACTTGAATAGAACAACGAAAAAGTGCGATTAACCACTCTGAGTAAAACTAATAATGACAGTGACGTTTGATGAAAAATCGATGAATTATTAACAGTCACTAGATTAACTACATCAGTGCCTGTTGCACTATGTGGACGCATTTATTATGTATTTTATCTTTTTCTAATTCAAGGAACTTTGTGGAAGAGAATAACTGACGTAGAGCGTAATTTGGACTAATTTCGGTAGACATGGCTCTTCGTTTTTGTAATCCTTGAAACAAAGATTCCTATGGTAGGTGCTGTCTGAGCTTGCCTGATACTTCGGTCACGTGTGTAAAAAGATACATGAATCCAACTATACTAAATAATTCTGTCGCAAATATTTCTATTTTAATGAGAAATAATAAATTAATTAATCGATATTTACGCGGAAACTGTTTTGGTAAATTTTGTTGATGACAATGAAATCGTAGTAACAGTATCCAGATATAACTAATTCCTTCATTTAAAAAAATTGAAAATTCCATTTTTTAAATTACGTCTATAATTTAATTGCAGATGTTTGAAGAAAAAATGGTATATTTTATTCGGAGAAAAGTGACTTTTTGTTGCTCGTCTGTATTTGCCAAACCTACAGACGCACACAAAAAGTTTCACTTTTACTCCTTATAAAATAATATACCATTATTACCACCATTTTAATATAAGAAAAATTTTCGCGATCGAGCTCCGACAAAAGACAATCAGGTATGAAGGAGTTACTGTAGTGTGAAAATATGAATAACTTTATGTTTCTTCTTCTTTTTAGCACGCTTATATTAGCTTCACTTGTAACAAACAAATTATGTAAACAAATCTATCAAATCGTGGCGATTTGAAACTTTGCAATGGTGTGTAATTTTGATGACAATACAGTAATTTCGTATTATCGAGCAGTAGGGGTCCACTCTACTCTCTAAATAGTGACAAAAGTTGTGTGTGATATTTACCATTAAAAGCGTATTTTTTATATTAGTTTTTTAAATATAATTATTATAATGACATTTCGCCGTTTGTCAATTTTAGGCCAAATATGCCATCGACTGATACCAGTCATTATAATTTTATGCAATATTCTTTAAGTGTTTATATTTTTTAAAATAAAGTATTTTTCAGCTTCTCTGGTCACCATGTATAATGCACAATACCAACTCTCAAGGGAAATGTCTCTTGCTGATGAATTAGGAAGTACTGGTAGTGGACCAAGCTCAATTTTAGTATTAAAGTGTGGATATCTGTGGGATACGGATTCCCCAGATTCAGAACGCCTTATAACGGATGCAGATAGTGGACATAGTACAGCACATTCTCCAACAGGAACAGATGGTTTTAAATCTATGTCACCAATTATGGGAGTCTCTCCTTCTTGTGTTGAAGGAGGTGTAGTATATAACGATGTTGAAGTATTAGAAGCTACACATCGTGGATTACACAAATTTGTCCCCAGACATGATGATGAAATCGATGTAGAAATTGGAGATCCTATATATGTACAAAAAGAGGCTGACGATCTTTGGTGTGAAGGTAAATTTTCACCCATACTAATAACCTAATAAGGCTTAAATATTTGAATTAATAAACATAAAACATAACATATTTCGGCAATATTATAGGGCATGTCACAAAAATAATATAATACTTATACAGTGTAATACAATACAAAAAATGTGACATGGAAATCATCAGATTTTTAATAAAAATCAGAAAATCAACTTTCAACTAATCTCGAAAAATTTAACTTGCATAATTTGTCGTTCATTTGTTCGTTAGGTAGTGACTTACTTGGTTCCATCATCATTTTTGTCACAAGCATTGTGCATTTTTTAAATGACTTGGACCAACGAGTGGGTGGAAACAGCTACTTCCCAGACAATAGCCCCGCTAGACGCTGGATGCTGGATTACCCCTGCCATCACTGGTGTCACTCATTCTTAATAGTTTTTATGTTTTACAGATTTTTTACAGGTTTTCATTGCGTTGTCTAAATGTTTATTTTTAAAAACTTCCTGTAAAGAAGAAAATAATTTTCTAAAAGGTTATATACTGTGATATCAAAACAGAGTGGCCCTTTTTGGTAGGCTTGTAAGGGTGGAGCGTTGGTATAATGAGTTGATCTTTTGTGTATGGTGACTGTGCACGTCGCCAACCCTAACAAGCTTTCTCTCTTTTATAGAGTTGTGTATACCGGGACATTTTTTTAACTCTGAGCATATGAAGGTAAGTATGGGCTTAATCCCTGTGTTCAATTCACATCAATGCTGTGGGAGTAGACAACCAATTTGGTGCAATTTACACACCTGATTTTGTAGAACAAGAAATTCCAAAAGTAGTTGGAATGAGGTTAACGAAAAGATTGGGTCACGGTGGTAGAAGTAAGGTGTGGAAACCTCATTTATAACTTTCCTCAAAATCATTGGTAAAAAACATAAATCGCGTGGTTTGTCATTCGCTGTCCAGACCTCAGCGACGTCTAGAGAGATCAGTTGAAACTAAGTAATAGAAAACTGCATTAATTCTTTGACATTTTATGACAATGTCAATTATTACTCAATCACAAATGTCGAATTATCCACCAATCATACGATTTACACGAAAGGCCAATTGCAAACCGTTGTGCTGTGATTTATTCTACCTCTAACGAACCTATCATTTAATTCATTTAAATACACTGACAAGTTGAAATGTTAATACATAGATGAACATACTATGCTGGATACTATCCATGATAGGTACTATTTTGTAGTAAATAAGTCTACTGGGATGCGTGTTTTATTCAGCAAATTGGAGCGGCTTGTTTCCACACCTTACTTCTACCACCGTGGATTGGGTTTTTTTCTTATATTTAACTTCTTATGTTCAGTAAGAACATAATTTGTTCGATTTCTTTAATGGTGTTTATACTCAACATATCGACTATTGTTTACATTTTTGTAAAATATTTTACGACAATAATTTTAACAAGTTGACATTTACTTTTTTTTAATCAAGATGCCTTGAGTAACTTTAGTTGCATACTTTCAATGCATTAAAACCATGAAGGTAGAATGACAGCAGGGAGTATGTCTAATTTGACCAATTTTATCGAAACGCCGGCAAAAGAGCTCCACGGAAGAACTATTTATGGCTCTTTCCGTACTACATCAGGAGCGATCGGCCAACAATAGAAGATCAGAGGCAGTGCCGTTTGGTCTAAAATCGGTTGATAGCTAGTAAAAACGTCTTACTGTCTGTGTAATTATGAAATAAAATCAATAGTATTTAACATTACTAGCATGGTAAAAGGGTTTTTACTGGCTCGAGAAGGTGACTAGCTCGCCTGCTTCTGTCCGCCAGTAAAAACCCGTTACCTTGCGTGTATTGTTCAATATTTTATTTTTTTCTCACTTGTAAATAACTATTATAAACTATAGGCGGCCACACACACAGAGTGTGCAGTTAAAAGTGTGCACGCTTGTCGTAAGTTATTAAACCCGTACTCTCTAAACGGCGCAACTGAATTTAAACTCAAGCGTGCAGCGACTTGTGTCCACACACTGAGTTTTCCCCGGGCAGTTATAACTGTGCACGCTAAAAATCAAGCCAACTGATTCCAACAGACTTGACTGCACATGCCACATTCTTCCCCACACACTAGCAGTTTTAACTGTACCCCGTGGCACGTACATTCAAGTCTTGACTCTTCCCTCTCTGTGTGTGGCCGCCTTATTAAAAACTCTAGAAGGTCCGATATTTGAAGAAACATCGTATGAGCTTTAGACGTATTGCCTTGGAAACGCATGTCAGCATAGCACTTATTGTGTTGTCTAGTTCTGTCATTTAGATTTTTCGATTTATCGTTTTCGATGTATTGAAATGAGTGTGGCGCAAGCTATATTAATGAGGAACCAGCAATTGTGAGTGAAAATTTACTTGAATCAACTTTGGTTGTCATTTCAACTTATAATAGTTTAAAATATATATCTGTATGAGCACGAGCAGGGGTGTAAAAATTTTACTGACTAGCCAGTTAAGTGATATTTTCATGTTGAATACAGTGACTTGATAAATTGATGTTTACAAGTGAGGAACAAATAAAAACATTTTTTTCCAAACGTCATATAAGTGACGTTTTAATGACTTCATTTTCAGAATAAAACTTACACTTATATTAGTCTAAGTTACTTGATTATGAGTTATTAAAAAACGCTTGATTCAGTATGATGCAAACATAAGGTTTAATTATTCTAATTATATACTGCTAATTGTTTTAATTGTTAATATTAATATTAAACGTGCAATTCGTCGCATCCTGAAAAATACAGTTTCTTGTAATTTTTTCCAAATCACTGCTATTAACCGTGTCGTTCAAATTGGAGTTCATGGTACCTTAGTAAAGCTTTCGTTACTAATACTAGTAGTTTTCAAATTCGCTGCTGTTGCTTTCAATTTTTGGCAAAATCTTCGTACCAATATTCCTTTTGTTTGCTAATGAGTCCTCGATGTATCCTTCGGCGACTGTGCTTGATCGCCAACCTCCATGGCTCTTGAGGGTGATGGTAATATCTGCGCTGGTGTCGACACGTAAAGTCGCCGAAGTTCTTCTCATGATTTAACCATCGAGTAATAAAACCACAAACTGGAACTTTTCATGCTTTTGGCTATCTCCGAAAAATACGCCAGAAGGACACTTTTCGTGTAAACGACTGCGTTTTTTTGGTAACACCAAGTAGTCAATCTCTTGAAAGCTGCTTCGTAAACAACACTTTGTCGAGTTTTTCAATTGCAGCTTTCGCTATTTCAACTATTTCAGGTGGAGTTTCTGTAAATTCAGACATTGTGCAAAAAATGTGATATTTTTTTTGTTTAATAAGTTTCTATAACAATATCCAAACACGTTTTTGTAAATCGCTAACACGTTTTTCGGAAACAAATTATAATGTATATATGTCTAAATTATTGATACGTTGTTTTTGATATAATCTTGTAAGTTTGAAGAAAAAATAACATATATTATTCAGAGTATAAGTATGTACTTTTATGTGCTTCGCACGGACTTGTCTGACTCACTGCGTTCGTCAGTCAATAGAGTCCATGCTCAGCCCATAAAGCTTTACTTATACTCTTAATAATATAATCTACTATTATGGCAACATGGAAACTCGAAAACATTTAACGCTACTGCTTTGATATTTTATTTTATTAAATTATTTTTGTATCTTATGACCAGTACCAAACGAACACTTTCGAGCATGCCAATGGAACAAGCAGTTTCTCGAAGGAGTTGAAAATGCCATTTATAATCCTAGTCGAAAACGCGGTACCAGGTAATTTTTCAAATTATGTTGGTGTCATTTTACCTCCATGATTAAAACTGAACATAGGTATTAAGCCCATACTACTTTTCATATGTTCTGATGAGTTAATAAAATGTGCCGTTATATGTGATTACTTCCCTGATATTAAGGGATGAAAGAGTTCCTAGTTCCCGGAAAATAGTTTTATATGAATCTCATATTTTTACATAAAAGTCATGGTCCGTTGTGCCTTTTTTGCAAAACGAAGAGATTAGCAACACCAGATGAATCTCACAGTAGAGTTCCATGTGTTAATAGCGACTCTATCTTTGAATAAATTTTACACATACACTTTCTGCAGTATTATTAATTGAGTTTAACTTGTAAATTGATTGTTCGATTGATTAAAGTGGGAACTGGGGAAATGTTTCTTTGTGTTCAAAAACTTTCCTTTCTGTGCATGCATTAATGGAAGTACCTGAGATGTTCGAACGATTTACTGGTTTACTTTTTTCTGATATGCATAAAAATAGTTAATCCTGTATAGGTACCTACTGTTTATTCAAAAATTAAAAAAACACTACCTGTTGAATGAAGTTAGTACCAAATAAAACTCCTCTAGGACTTATTTTTACACTGGCAAGTTGGTAGTACAAAAAACTTCAAATTTGAAATTCCATAACAAAAATATCAAAATAAAATAAACAAAAACAATGTGTTTTGAATAAAAACCATAATCATCCCAACCTCAATTTTTTTCACAACTCATCTTGGCACCAATAATCTCCCCAGACAATGTTGTTGGTTGAATTTTCGTACTATGTTACTGGTTGAGTGGTCTTTTAATTTTTGAAGAGATAATACATACTTGTAAATTTCAGTATAAACATTTACCATTTTTAATGCGTAAAATAAAATAAATTATGATAAAAACTATATACAGCTTTGGTGATAAAAATTTTTAAATTCAGTTCAGATTATGTTAGTTGGTTTGTTTGTCTTGTACTGTATCTATATGTACGAGTACATTAAAAACAGAATCGTTCAAACAGACGGCATGCTCAGTAAAGGCTTCCAGAGAAAAATGGAAGGAACAAATAGAGAACAATAACAACAATAACTGGAATATTAAACGTATGATTAATTCCCATAGTTCTAACGTAAATGTTTTATTCACTCACTAATGCTTTAATTAACCTTTTCCCCATCTTCCACTTTTCACATAAATGCCACTTTTCAGGTTAACTGTAA